AACTGAAATGAATCTCATAAACATTAACCGTGTTGAAACAAAATGCTCTCTGTGATTGCATTATAAACAACTTAGATGTAAGACACAATTTGTAGACATCTGTAATGTCATTGCACTGCATAGGGAAACCCAGCCTCCACACCTATAGTACAGAATTATCAGCACCTTCATCTTTTGCCTTGCTTTGGAACAGTATGCGTGATGTCCATATGACGCTGCTTGTAACAAGTTCTTCTTCATCAAACAATGCTTGTAATTCCCTTCTGACCACTTTCACACACATTTTTCATGGTCCTTCTCCCTGTTTCTCCAATACACACTCACTGCTACCTACTGCAAACTGCAGATTGCAGAACTTTCCTTGCTACATGCTTAATGTCTTGTTCAACACCTTGTATTCTAATTCCTATTTCATGTCCTGAGGCAGTGCAGTAAAAATAATAACTCACAGGTCCTGACCCTTGAGATACTCCCTCGTACAAATAATACCCACTAAGACTGGTATGCACATCAGAGAGCAGGCTGATGATTTGTACAGCTGCCAAGCAGAGGTGCAGGAGATTCCCTAGAGGTTTCTCTTGATAAACAGAACATTGCCATGCTTCTGTTTACTGGCATTTATTTTGATATAACAAAATGCTTTTGAAAGATATGCACTTTCCATGGATTGAAGTACATTGCAACCTGCTTACAGATTTCCCTTGGACAGCTCAGATGTCATCCTGCTCTCTCCTCGGCCACCAGTCACAGTCAGTGCCAGTCATCAGCTCCAGCAACAAAACTACAGGACGTGCAAATCCTCCACAACTCCTCTGAGTTCTATTCATAGAAATATACTATGATCTACGCTCAGTGGTGCTGGTGCCAGTGATAATTTTAGAGGGAACTTGGCAGGTTTCTTCTGTCTCCTTTTTTGCGCTATTTTGATAAAGGTAGTGTAAGGTCAGAGTCAAGACCTTGCTGAACAATTTCTCTGTCATATTACACTGCAGACTTCTTGTTTTTAGAACTTACTCAGTGCTGTTTCTGAGCAATCCATTAGGAAACACACACACTTTATATTGTGCATTGTTAAATTAAAAAAGAAAACAACTGTTTTTTGCAGAACTACATAGTTAGATAGGCCTTATGAATAATATTTTAGATTCTAGCTGATTTTTTGAAAATCATACAGAGAAATAATTCCTCTCATAAGGCAGAGAATACACATGACACTCAAATGGGCATCTGAGATGTTGGGTCCTTTATCAATCCTATTATCAGTCTGCCATTATGACTACCTTGATTGCAAAATCTTACTTAATTCAGGTGAAATAGGGGACTGTGATGCTGCTGCACTTGTATCTGCTGCTTTCTGCTTGTTCGTAGTATATGTGTTGTAAAATGTAGCATGAGAAGAGAGAAAAATCCTCAAAGCATGAGGAAAGATCTTGTTTCTTCAAGCCTACTTGAAAAATAAATTGTGTTAAAAACAAAATAAGTACGAACTTCTTACATGGAAAAAAAAAATTGACAGCTGCAATTCACAAAGTCACAACTAAATGTTATCAGTTTGGAGAGAAATATTGAAATCAGGGTTACTAAGGGGATGTTTACATAAAGGAAATATCACTTAAAATGCTTCTTTGAATTACTGTATAATTTCATTGTTTTGAAAATTTTCATTTTGTTTGGACTTGGAACATCAGAATTTGGTGGAGAGAAGCAAAAACAACAACAAAAAAAGAACATCAGCAGGCCTTGGGAATTCTTTCTCCACAGCAATTTGGAAAAGCTATTCTCTTTCCTTTTTTCTTCTTTTGGCATTCACTTGTTTTTTTTGTTTGTTTGTTTGGTTGGTTGGTTTTTGTTGTTTTTTTTTGAGAGAGAGAAAATTAATTCAGATCAAAACTTTTGTGCAGAAAAAAATGAAACTTAGAAAAAAAAAACTCTTATAAAATAGATTTTTAACACTTTTTTCTGTATAAAAAATTGTATTTACTACTAATAGGCTTTTAATGGTGCCCAGCTTATAAGAAAAAAAGTTACAATCATCTTCCCAATATGTACTACAAAGAATAAGAAAAAAAATGACAAAACCATATGTATATAAAACTACATTTTTTAGACAAAGAATAGCTGCATTATTTGATCTTATGGATTGTTGCAGCTTGCCTATTTAGGAGTTGCTGAATGACAACTTAATTTGCAAGTGGGAGAGCAAAGACTATAATGTGATAATTTATCTCCAAATGAAGGCAGAGCAGGAGCACGCACAGAATGAATCAGCCCCTTTCACAGACTGGTATTGAAAATAGTCTTTTAGTAAAAAGTATTTTAGTATTAAAAAAAAAAAAAAAAAAAAGTAGCTTGCTAAAATAATTCCCCTTGTCCTCATAATGGGCTTTTTTTTTTACATGGGAAAGTAATATACCACTTTAAACATATTTGATAGGACAGGACATGGGTTTGTTTGAAAGGAGCAGGGGATATTTTAATATGCAAGTCTAATGGCGTATTGGGTTTTTAAGAACCAGGATGATCTATAATGTATCCTAAATTGAGACTACATATTGTGGTATTCAGAAACATGTTGTGTCTTGTTAAATTTTCTCTGTAATACAGAACAAGAACACAATAGCTTCAGTAAATCAAACTAAAATGAATGATTAAGTACCTGATTTAATACTGTGTATTAATTTCGGTTCAGATGGTCCTTGCTTTGTTGTATAATACAATTACACACAAGACTACATCATTTGCATGCTATAGCAAGGTGCATTATAAAAATAATCTTAAATTATGAAGAACTGAAAGGGAATGATTGTTAGAATACAGTGCCCATATATCAAAGACAAGCCTTTACTGAGGGGACTCCTTGAATCTTATTTAAGGGCATGTACTTTGTTGTCTTAGCAATTCTTCCTTTTTCCTAAAATCCAATCACAGTGCCATCCCTTCAAGGTTTCTAGAGGCTTAGCCATTACTGCTCCTCCTGTAAACTGTCAGTAACCTCTTACTTAGCAAGTTTTACATTTTCCTGCATCTATCTCAAAACTACAGATGTACTGTATCACATCTTTCCAAAGAATTCATAGCTAACAGGAGAATTTATTTCTAAATTACTGCTTTAAAGTACTGTAGATCTATCTGTTTCTCTTTGGGGCCCTGTTGTCTTCATTTAAGTGATTATTCCACAACGCCAAGCTTGTATCCTGGTGGCTAGTTGCTCCTTGCTCCATCTGAAATCCGCAGCTGGCTTGGGAAGCAAGATAAACAGCTCACTGGGAAACACATAGTGCATTAGTTATATTGGGTGTAAATAAAAACAAAAAGACTGATCAGTGCATAGCTGACATTCTGAGAGCCACTGTACCACGTGGAGGTCAAGTCAGGTCTATGATGCTGCCTCCCTCAGTCCTGTGCTTCTGTGTATGACTGGCAAGAAAAGGGCAAAGAATCAAACAGTAGCCATCAAGAAAAGCTTCACTACTGCTGAAAGGAGGCCAGTCTGTGGTCTGGCACCTTTTCTTCAAGAATGGAAAGGATCTTCCTGAAGCCTAAAGGTCTATTCAGGATCTCGAGGAACAGCCATTCAGCTTGGTAAGAACTGCTGCTCTCCACCTGTCAGCTCAGCATGGGCCTTGAGATCTTCTTCCGGATACAATGGAAAAGCAAATGCATTGGTTGTCAAGCCAAGAAGAAGAAGGGCCTTACCAATCCATCCTGAGTGCATGGAAAGTAAGTTAGTGCATGTGTGCCTATGTCTGTGTGCAAAAGAAAAGTTTGAATGTGTGTGCAGGACAGCTACTGTGAGCAGCTGAGTGATGCACATTGGTATAAGCCATCGTACATTGATAGCTAATGGACAAATACTGTAGGTTACCACTTAGGAAAGTGTTGTAGGGAAAGACATAAGGTGACCACAGACATATACTGTCATGTCTTAGCCCACGTAAATCTTAATTATTTTGCTACTCAGTTACGAACAGTTTTATTCAGAGCTGTACTGATCAGAAGTAAATTCATGTCCACTTCTCCCTCTGTACGTAACTGCCTCACTGTCCTCTCAGGAAAGTCATATTCCACAAGCATCACAGAAAGGAGAACAAATTTGCATTCATGAGAATAGAGGTTTTGTCACACAAGGGGAGAACACTGTTTTCATGTTCTCTAATGTTCTCCTTCCTATGAACACAAACCCATTAACATGAAAACAATGATGTCTTATCTCAACTGTTGACTGTTTTATAATAGAGATGACAAACTTTTCCTGACCCCCACAGATCATCAGCTTAAGCTCTGAAGCAAGAGGCCTCATTACCCTTGTAACTCTTTAGTAGGAAGGCTGCAAAACTTAAATGTTGTTCCTGACACCTAATCCCTTTTTAATCCTCCCAAAGGGCTTACTTCAGCAATTTCCATGGCAGTGATTCCACCACTGATTAGTGGCACACTGCATAGAATTTCTTCCTCTCTGCCTTGCAGACACTGATTCTCACTTGCTGCTCTCCGATTTACAAATGGGGGGAGGGAGGTCTCTGATTTGTGGAGATCTCTTGATCCTACTGTGTTCAATAGGCTCAGCACCCCGTAGCTCAGATCTGTAAATCAGCCTCTAAGTGGAATGTCCACTGCTCTATAAAATATTAAAAGCCTGTAATTGGGGCATAAATTGTAAGAAATGCAACAGTTTCTCCAATCAGCATACACTTTTAGAATTCATCTGCAACTATTCATAGACGGACACACTTAGATGTCTCTTGCATTCTCTATGTATGAACCTGTGGTTTGTGTAATGACAATTATTAAAGAAATAATATCTAGTAGTGGATTCTAAAGAGTCTATTTCATGGAAGCAGCTACATCCCTATAAGGAAACAGCCAATTTGACTAACAGAAAACTTTTTCTCATTAGCTTGTTACCAATTGTTCTTGCTTGAGAAATTTTGTTTGTTCTCATCTATGTGACTTTGAAATGAGACTAAAGGGAAAGAAGCTGGCTGGCACAGAAACTCTTACAAAGTCTTCACAGCACAAACTTCAAAAAGAATCTGCACTGATAAGAGTTAGCAGTTGAGTTGAATGATTTCCTAGAGATGTCAAGTGTCCAAAGTAACAAATTTAAACATTGTGCTTTAAAAATATTTAAGACACACACCATTAAAACCATGTGATGAATTTGACCTTGACATGGGTTTTTAATAAGGCTTATTCCACATAACTTTTGCTTAAGTTGAACCTTATTTCACTACTTGTTAACCTCTCCATTACATAATTGTCTGTGCGAGTACTCATCGCGTCTCCTAACTTAATAATACCCGTGAATTCAATCAGCATGATACCTTTCCACTCCCACATCTCTAATAAAAATGTTATATGAGTCTATATCCAGCAAAGATCCTTGTATCATGCTTTTTGAAACCTCCTACACTGTAATCTTTCATGACATTTCAGAAAAAGGCTGCATGCTTCTCTTTACTGCGGATGGAAAACCAGTCTGGAGATACATGTGAGTAAAAGCATTAACTGACCTGTATTAAGGAGGGAAGAAACAAAAGAGTTAGAACCAGTTTCCTTTCTTTTTCTGACTTATATAAATAAGCCTGTTCTTATTTATGTGCGTTTTTCAGCCCTAGTTTTCTTGTACTCAGTTTCCAATAAACTCACCAGCAACACTTTAGACTCTTTGTTTCTCTTATGTTTATACATTAATCATTTTATGTGACAATGGGAAATATCTGAGCAACAGCAAAAGCAGACTGTAAAGCAACTATGGTAAGCATAAAGGACCAAATTCTGACCCAGTTATGTTAATAAGCTGGTTATTTCTGTTCTGCAGGACTCCCTTTGAGTTCAGCACGCTAACTAGAGACTTCAGTAGGAGAATAAATGGTAGAAAGTTTCTCTTGGTTTGTGTGAGCCTCTATGAGCTTATGTACAAGACACTTAGCAATTAAGAATGATGCTGGAGAGAACTGGCAATACCTCAAAAGCCTTGTGTGAGTAGTGCTGTCCAAAGGCAGAGAGCAGGCTCCATCTCCGACAGCATAACTCCTGGGAATTGAATGGCTCAGGCTAAAGCTGCCTGCCTTCTCTGAGAGTCTCTGAAGAAAATGTTAGGTGAACATGACCTGCCTCCCCAGGGATGTGCCTGTTCCTCTGGGGAGACAGGGATCTGTCTGGGGAAGTAAGCCACCCTGTGTGCCCCAGCGGGGGGGACTCATCCCCTCTCCTCAACAGTGAGATAAAATCCATCAGTCATTTTAAATGTGTCATACACAGAGCTCTAGTCTATAGCATTTGAATAAATAGTGTGATACTGGTTTTGTATTATTTTTCTTTCATCGACCAAATAGTCTCTCTTATGCAGCCCAATACTACAATAATGGGCTCTGGATAATAACTTAAACAGAGTTAGTCTTTAACCATATTGCAGTATTTGTCCTTACAACATAACAGCACTGTGGTGTTTTACAGCAAAATATGAGAGAACAAGTGATAATGAACAAATATGGTTGCATCATGTTGGGAAACAATAGGCTAAGTGCCAATTTTCAGGCACTTCTAAGTGATATCCTTGTGTTCATACTATTAGTTCAACCAACATTACTCTGCTTCATACTAAAATAATAACAAGAACAGAACCATTTGTTCAGCCTGGCTGTTGGAGAAGGAAAACGATGCTGTGTGTAGAACTGCAGGAAATTATGTTGACTGATAACAAATATAATTATTTCCGAATTATTATGATTGTGTCACAATCATTCCAGGAATGCAAAAGATTTTTTTTTTCTACTCCTCCCTTCCCCCTCCCCCCTTCTAGTATAACTCCTTATCTGCCCTCTTTGTTTTTACCTTCTGCAGCAGTTGCAACATTGGCATGGTGCCCCAGTACATGAAAGCTATAGTATTGTGGATTATCGGAGTTTTGCCTGGAATAAGATGGATGCAGAAATACTGTTTAACAAAGGCCCTGCTTTATCTTTGCCCAGACTTCTCTCTCTTGCTCTTTGAAGCCTCGGTTGGGTATATTGTGTCACAGGGCAGCATAAAGAGCAGCTAATTTCTAAGAGGGCTCACAGGCTGCAAAACAGTTTGTTCTTCAGAAACAATATGCATCAAACAGAAAATACATCCGATGTCATTGCGAAAAGATTAGCAATTAGGTGCCGAGGTGTTGGTTGGCAGTAAGAAACAGTGGATAAAATGGATTCTAGCAGGAATGGGAATGAAAAAGAAGTCGTGATTGAAGAAGGCCCCCAAATAGGTAAGATATTAAAGAATATTAAAGCTAATACGGTACATTATAGAGCAACTGAAGAAAAAGGAGATGGATTGTGAAAATTAGACCTAGATGAGAAGAAAAGTAATGAAAAAAGTGCTAAATTAGAATTGATTGACAACAGCCTGTTAAGTAATCTCGAAAAAAGTTAACTGAAATGGGGAAATAGTCCAGCAGCTGGATTCTAGTTTAGCATGAATTACCCATGGGAAACCATTTGGATGAGAAGAAAGCATCACCTGAGGCTACTCTGGCTCTGTCCATGGGGAGAAGGTGGCAGCTTCAGCTGCTAAAGCTCGGAATGGAAAAAGCCCCCAGCCTGCTGCTCTCTTATTATATTTCAGGAGCACCTGGACTTGCTAGAAGACCCTGCAACACATCAAAAGATGAAAAGGTATCCAAAAAACTGTCGATAAACTTTTGATAATGTTCATTTGCAGCTAAGTGGCCAAGAATAGGACAGGTTTACAGAGAATAATTACAGAGTATGTGAAAGCAGAACACAGGCTTCAGTACGGAAAAGATCATTAGTCAGTAGCAGAGGCCAATGTCGCGTGAAGTGACAGTTCTAGTGGTCCCTAGCTACACTTTTGTTGGGCTACGAGCCATGAGAGCAGGGCTATGGAAGGCAGAGGTGCGTGTGTGACTGCCCTGCTGGCAGTCGGCTGCTGGCACCATGGCTGGTCACACAGAACAAGTCTGTGAAACAAGTCTGTGAAAGAGGCAGTCATGACTGTCTGCTGCGCAACGTGCGCAGTCACATCCCATCAGAGGTGTCTAATGCCCTAATGATGTCTGCAGATCTTACTGACTGTGCACAAGTGTAAAGACTTTTTCAGACAAAGGGACTTTGTCCCAAGTGCTGCTCTGAGCTGAACCTGCTTCAACAGGGTTTAAACAAGCTGATATAATTGTAACAGAAGTTTGCTGTTTTGAAAATGCCTATGTTGATCCCAGGCACTCAGGTGTCACTTCTATGGCTTTTCTCTTACTGCCAGAGTTTGGAAGCCCTGGATCATAGCAGCAGCTCCTAATTGGGCTTTTCAACATAGAGGATAGAGGAAATCCAGCAAAAGTGGACTGTTAGACAAAGCAGGAGGCACAAGTCCAGCCAACTACTCGAGACTTTGTGTGGAAGCATTACATTCTAGAACAGCCTAGAAACTTGTAACGTTGCTTTGTAAGAGCCAGCCCAGAAAACTAAGTCCTGCAGAACTCCTCTCCCACACCCATCAGACTGCTATGTGGAAGGGAAGCAACTACGGTCTGATATTCCCTGTCATGCAGCACACGCATCAGTGGAGTAACACAGACATCAAAATGGCTTTCCTACACAAACCCATGAGGTTTTTGACTAGGCTCCTCATTCATTCCTCCATCGGTATTGTTTCTGCTCCAAATGCCCTGGCAACTCCCACTTTTGCTTTCATCACAAGAATTCATGACAGGACTACCAGTTTTCTCTCTGCCTTCATAACAGAGTGAGGCCTACACTACTGCCCACAATTTTCTCTGTCATTCTGATGCTTAGGATACGTTTTAGAATATAGAGATCTTGCAGCACATGAGATGAACACAGTGTCTACAATATGTATGTGCTGTTGGAAGGTAAATAACATGAAATATTCTCTAACAAGTAAATTGTTTTCCTCCAGCAAGTGATGTATTAAAACTACTTAGGCTGCAATCTGTCAGAAAAGAAATTATCACAGGATCGTTTGTAAGGAAACTATTTATAAGAAGCATTCAAGGAGATGGGTCATGAAGTCCTCAAATAACACTGTCTTAAAACAATGAAAATGGAAAAGAAGAAGCTTGAGACAACCAAAATCTGGAAGTTTATCTTGGTAGATAAACTACTGTTACTAGCTAAATATTAAGCCAGCTAATGTTTAATTTCACTAACCTTGAGTAAAGGCCTGTGAAAGAGGTACAATCAGACAATAGACACAAAAAAAGAGATAAGGAAAAATGTAAAAAGATTATCAAGGAGGAGGGCTAGTGGAGGATTTTGTCTACTAAAAAAAAAAAAAAAAGTTATTCTTAATGTGGAGAATCAGACATGAAAGAAAGGATACTGGAAAACGCTGAATACGAGAGATCTAAGCTTTACAAACGTATTACCCAAAAGAACTCATTAATATATATTTAAATATAAATATACATACATATATATGCATTTTGCAGAGATGTGAAAAGCTTAATATCTCGAATCATATTCTAATCGCACTTTCCCTTTCTGAAATATGTATGCCTTGATGTTGGCAATGGGATTACACTATTTTTGTTCTATTTATCTATACTGCATAAAACCATGTTAGATATATAGTATGTTACATCCAAAGCTTTGATACACAGGAACGCTTCCTCTTTTAAATTATTATCATTCCTTTTTATTCATCAGGAGACTCATCACAGCTACCTGCCTCTGAGAGACCAGATTTACGCCTAGCATCTTTATGCTTTATACTGATGTCACAGGCAATTCAAAGGGGCTAAAGTGGCCGTCTGCCTATAAGCACCTGACAATATGCTGTTGTAAAGAGCAGAGAACAAAAAGAAACATTCTAGACTCCATCAAAGCAGTAGAGTAGGGTAGTGCAGAGCCTTCTCCAGGCTGGGACTGCATTGCTGGCTTCTAGCAAAAGCTCCGACCTACAAGAGCAGCACAAGCATAAGAACATAAGCAGTTAAACTTGGGTTTTTATTTACTTTGATTGCTTGGGTTTCTTACAGGTGAGTTTTAACCTTAATTGACTCTTCGATCTGGTTCAAGACCTAACATAGGCATACGTGGTGACAGTAGAACAGGGAGAGGGCATGGAGTGGGAATGAGCAGCCCAGAGAGGCACGACTTTCACTGACTTTCCTGGTTCCAACTGCATGGGAAATCCTGGCCTCAGAAGCAGCTGGCATCTGGGAGCACTGTGCAGAGAGGCTGCAAGAAATCATTCCTGTTCTTATATTGCTGCATAGAGCCAGAGCACATTCTGCCACATGCACGTATCAGAGCATTATAAATAATGCATTCTTTGAATCTTGTTACCAAAACAAACATGCCATTGTTAAGACACCCTGCCAGCGTCTGTGTGTTGTTACTACTAAAAATATTTCTTGGACCTTAAAGTTTCATCTGTCAGCCTTACAAAGCAAAAGGTAAAGATATCAGACAACTAGTTAGGAATAAAACTTCAGTGGAAACTTCAGGACAAAACACACTTAAGCAATTTATTTGTTCAAATTTTCCTTTTCTTGTATTTCACTTTGTTTCGCTATTAGCCCACTGGCTGGTAATAACTTCCCATGTGCTCATTGGAAGATGAATGTGTTTTATTTCACTGTTTAAGTCCCAGAAATCTTCCCTATTTCAACCACATATGAAGATAAAATATATTGGTTGGCGAAGTATGAATAGGTTGTAGGGAAGGCACAATCTGCCTGGATGAGACATTTACTCTTTTCATAACGGGATAGATCCAGAATCTTCCAAGTTTCCATAGGTGCTTAGCTTGTAATGAAGACAGATATTTCAATTTCTCCAAGTTTTAAGGAAGGAAAAATAGAAGTATTATAGTTAAAGGTCCTTTCTGGCATTTGTGTATTAGTTTTAGACAAAATCCTTAAGTCTTTTCTTAGAGCTAAATCATCATAAATGGATATGCTTGCTGAGGAAAAAAACTAAAAAGCCTATTTAAATAGAACAGAGGCCACAGAGGACACAGGGAGGAAAGACAAGGAGTAAAGGAAGGAGACTTGTCATTCTTATCCCCTTGAAGGCACTACATGGTTTGATGCCTTGGGGCAGCCCCCCACAAAAACTCTGCATGTTGGCATCTATTTCCATGCCAGGAACTAGGGGAGCCACAGAGGAGTCCCCCCTTTCTCACTGCCATATCTACACCTGTACAAAATCTCATTCTTTGGTGTGCATAAGTAACAGCAATTTAAACATGGCCTTATGCTACTTTCTGGGTTTATTTTCCCAGAGCACTCATAGCTGCTTTGCTGCTGCTTATTTGTACTGTGGCAGTGCCTCTTTTCCTAAAGTATTCATATGGTCTTTGTCATTGCTCTGCTCAAGTTTCTCCCAGTCTCAGATGTGTTTATTCACACAACAGTGCTATGAGAGCACTGCTATTACCCCCATCTTGGAGCAAAGAACCCAGGACATGGGGCTATCAGGGTTTAGACAAAGGCAAGCAAACATCTGACTTTCACTGATAGCAGTGACTTAGATATCTAAATGGAACCTAAAGAGCCATTTCTGCTTCACGTGGGAGAGGGTGGGGCAAGAATTCAACCCAGCTCTCACTGCCTTATGCTACTCTACCATCTCAGGGACACTTTATGTGGTGAAACTGCATACTAACAAAGATGCTACTCATCCTGAAGTATAAATATTGTGGTCCGTTATTGCTATGTAAGTGATTTTTCAGAGATGAAAGTGGATTAACTCTAAGGTAACATGGAAGAAAAGTAATCATGGAGTTAAAAGTTAATATCTCTTCTCACTGCCTCAGAAATATGTTTCTAAGGTTCCGCCTCCTAGAGGCACACTCTTCCCCAGGTGTGTTCCTAGTTGGAAAGTCACACCTGAGTAGAGGAGTTCTCCTGCTGTGCTGGGGGTTTTCCAGCTCAGGATGGTCTGTGCTACTGAATTTTTCCTGCCTAATGATTGCAGCATTTGGTCTTTTAATTGGTTGCTGTATATTAATTGGATCTAAACAGCTAAGGTATTTATTTTGTAAAGCAGTTCTGAATGATGAATCACCTACAATTTTTCATAAGGAGTTTCACTATACAGTCTGAAAGGGAATGCAGATTTATACAATAAATACAACTGCTCCAAAAGGGATCAGATTTATCTTAGCAACTGGCAAAGTCTCTCTAGGACTCATCCCCAGCCCCAGTCTATCTGTCAGCATATCTTTCTTCAAAGTCCAAAATGCAACAAAGCTTACTCTTTTGTAAATTATAAAAGTTTTTTTCTGAGACATGAGGAATTCCTTCAAGTGAGAGGTTTTATCTCTTAATGGATCACATTAACAACGCTAATATTAATAATATAACTTTTCTCTCAATCGGGATTGTATCCAAATTATTAGACGTGTCCTTGAGCATAAATGAGCAAGGGCAATTCAGAGTGGTAAGTTTAGCACTAGAACCGAATAAATAAATAAAGAAAAATCTTACCAAAAACCGGCTGAATCTCAACAATTGCCGAGCCAGCAGGATGACTGAAATCGTCGCGAGTTCACCCTTTATGGCCCAGGAAAAATACATTGTTAAGCAATTTTGTTGTTTCTACCAGCAGACCTTGAAGTGGAAATTAACGAGTGGTGGTATTCTCTCACACCCAATCCCCTGTACATTTGCATTCATTTGCATTTGAATGCCCAGCTAATTGTTTTGAAGTAACAATTAAGAGAACAATAGAGGAAAGAAAAGGGACTCCAGGCAGCAACTGACACCTGGGAGTCTGTATTAAGAAAAGCTTTTACATATTTGAATTAAAAATAGACAATGGAACAGAAACAGGCAGGCATAAAATTCATTACAGAGAGAAAGTAGCACACCACATCCGCGCGCGCTATCACGCTACAGAATATGTTTCCCATTCGTGCAGTCAAGAGACTTACAATGTACTGGATGGTAAAGGAGGTTTCTCCTTTTTGTGTGTGTTTTAGAAAAAGGTTGCTTTCTCACATTCCCTGAGTGCCTAAACTAAAGAGTTGGAGTTCAGAAGGAATGGAGGATTTTGCCAATTTGGCCTAAGTTTCAAAGTGGATTAGCTTTCCCAGAAAAGTTCTGGTATGCACGGATGCAGCAGTGCCTCTCAACATTTTGGTTCTGGTTAGAATTGCATCTATCAGAATATGGTAATAGAGGTACTGATTTCTGTTATAAAAAACCATAGGTGCCATCTGTAATATCTATTCTGGCTGTATATGCAGTAGGGATCCAGTTATCAGACTGCTCATGCAATGTATTTTGTTAGACTTTCTCCTCCCTTTCGCTAATGATGATGTAATTCTTTTTATCAGGAGCAATTGCTGTTAACTACATGACTGGCAAAAGCTCCAGCTCTGCTGTCCCCTCCCACGAGAAGAAGCCTGGAGTTGGAAAGTAGGCTGAAAAAAAGAGCAGGGAGCAGTTTCACTTCTGAATAGTAACCTCTACTACTAAAGCAATTCATTGACTCAAAATTAATCAGCGCTGTGGGTTTGGTGGAGAAAAAGAAATCCAGGTGATCAGTATAGGGGCAACTTCCACAAAGCAGTGCAGTGTCACCTCAACCTCCTTCAAAAACATTTGCTTTCATGGAGTTCAGAGAGGGCAAATTGTATACTGTGTGCAATATGGGAATATTTATTTATTTATTTATTCATTCACTCATTTTAAGGAAAAAAGAGGTTCACTGAGAAAACACAGAATCGTGACCTATTCCTGATCTAGGAGGGACCATAATCTGCAGTGAATGCCTGGGAGATACTTCTAGTACAAAGATGAAAACTGTAATATGACCATAAATTGCATTTCCTGAAACGCAAAATTACTAGCCCTGGGATAGTTATGAACTAGTTCACATGGTGCCAATAATAGCATTGAGGTTCTCTGCTGCTCATGGTGGCAAAATAGCCCAGTATGCACCTTGCCTTTTTAAGGTAAAGGTCTTATTATCTGGAGTAATCAAAACTTATTCTCTTGCAATTAACTTATTTTAAATGGAAGGCACATAAAATACAGGAGCAGATTATCTCCATTTTTATTGCCCTTCCCCGGCTATCTGTAACTTCTATTTTGATAAACGTGATCAGGATGTAAGCAAATTATATAATAACAGTTAAGGCATGTGAATATAGAATATTATATTTGAAGACAGTCCTAATCATGAGATGAAATACTCATAACATATTCTTCAATATTGTTGTGTTCAAGTTGTCTGAATTTCTGGAAAAAAAGAAAAAAAAAAACAACACAAATGTAGTATACATATATATATGACTACAATGGCCTTTCTCTTACTTCATCACAAAGATAAGTAAGATAGATCCATATGGATAAAACTTTCACTTGACTGAAGTGGATGAAGACTTGAAAAAATAGAATAATCCATCTTTACATTATTTGCTGAAATGCTGTATAGTAAGGCACTTCTTTCTCTTCCTATTATTTTACTTTTTCTGTTTTTCTATTCTTTTCATGTACTTCTAATACATTAAATAGAATGTTATGGATTGAAAAATAAAAGTCTCTGTTATGGATGAATTATTTTTTTCCATCAAGTTGTCTGAAGGTTAGACAGTCAACACCTACAAATTACACAGATATGTCATATTCCTAAATGAATTGTATTATGCTGGCACACCTATGAATTCTAAAACAGATCTGTCACAAATCTCAGTATAAAATGCACCCCTCTAATTTGTCTGGGAATATACAGAATACAAAAATATTCAGGCTCCCTAAAAAGCAACAACATGTTGTGGGTGATGTTCCTTATCAATTAGTTGTATTTGGTCTCCATTATTTATTTCTAACTAATCAACAACTCTTTAAAAATATGGAAATAATTGAATAACAGTGCATCTGTGGCATTATTTTACTACTTTCATATCAAAAGCCATCCACATGTGTGCTGTATGAAAACAGGGGTGAGAGAAGAGACCTGCAAGAGCTCAGAGTCTTCTGTCTGGATTGAAGGCAATTGTTACTTCAGAATGTAACATGATGATGAATGCTTTCAAAAGGTCCCTGTAAAATATAATCCCCTATCAATTTCAATGAACAAGACTGTAGAGAGTAGAAAATTAGTTCCCATTTTATGTCAGCAACAAATAAGAATGCATTGCACAAGAAAACCAATTCTGGAACTGTTGATTGAGGAGTCAAGGCATTTGGTGCAGCACTGATCTGCCTTGAATGCAGTGGAGATAAAGGGAAGAAATTAGTTGAGTATTTTTCTCCCCAAAACCTGGTGAAAGCAATGGTGGGAAAGGTTAGTGCCAACACCAAGGACATTGGTTGCTGGGATTGATTTATCTGAGGAAAGACAGAAGAAATCTGAGGTGTGACAACTAGTGATCTCAGCCACTTCTTTCAACACTATGAGAGATAAGATAAAGATTGGATTGAAAGAAGAAAAAAAAAGGGGGTTTCAAAAGAAGGTTATTTCCTGAGACAAATGGGTAGAGGAACAATTGGAAATAGCACAGTATTAGGAATGTTTGGGAGAGGGAAATTGTACAAGTTGAGAAAGAGTGGTTGCTTAGGCAGGGGAGAAGAAATGTTAAATACAGATAAAACTGTTGCTCAGTGTCTAACACAACTAGGCCAAAAGCCTTTGGGCACTACCATGTCACAAATATTAATTTTAAACACATGCCATTATAATTGGAGTTTCTTCAAATACATGCTCCATATGTAGCTCATCTCAAAAGTATTACTTCCTATTTGTTTTGATGCAAACTACTACAGATACAAAGAACACAATAACACTGTTTGATAGAGCATATTCTCAGCTACAAAGCACTTTTTCAAAACAGTCACCACCACAAGCTATGCATTTTCATCAGCATAAAACAGAGCATCCTTGCCACATTCATAAAATTTGCAACAGTGGAGGTGACCCGTTGTCACAGTCACCACTGCTGAAATACACCACTCACTGCCTCACTGTGCTCACGTCCATTCTTTGGTCTCCATAAAAGTTCAGCAAGCATTATATATGTTATATGTGAATATAAGCAGGTGCCATTTTTTCCACATGGAGGAATTCAGTGACATACCTTTGCTTCACACGCACCTTCATGTCAGGTACCACTAATGTCAGACTGCCCCTCTGCTGCCATCTGTAACATGGCAACAAAACCTAATGGAATATTTCTGGGAAGATTCCACCTCTGCTGCCGTACCACCAACATCTGATGTTGTGGGCCAACTTCATAAAGTAGGAGGCATTACTTTCAGAGCAGCCAAGGTATTTATTTCAAGACAGTATAATTTATTCATTCTTTTTAAGCCATTTTAAACTTATTAATTTAGTATATGTCATACTATAAAGTGCACTATTATTTCCTACTTCCTACTGAAAGCTTAACTTACACTGTCATAAGTTGTAATTTTGTGGTGGGCTAAGTGAAAAGTGAATTCTATTTTCAACGTTAAGCTCCAATGACAGTACAGTTTTAAAATAATTAGAAAGTATACATGAAAGCTGAGATAAAATGATACCCAGTAGGCCAGTGCTAATGCATATGGTA